CATGTTTTTATATATAAATAAATAATAGTTTCTTTTTGATGTTAATTTCTTGCAGTAAAACAAATTTATCAAAGATGGTAAAGATGATCAGAATTCCGGATTAATTCGGTGTCAGGTCGAAATCATGTGATTGTCAATTTTTTTTGCCGTGGTTAGAGTACTATTAATCCGGAATTGACGTGACCCTAGCCGTGGCGAAAAAAGTGTCGGAGTAGTATTAAATAGAGTTAGGATTAAGATTATTATATAGCACACATTTTCAGGTGAAATTAGTTTCGCCTACAAAGTGTAAAAATGAGCTAATGAGCATTATCTTTATGGTTATCCTAATGTAGGACTCCTATGTTCGATTTGGTTAAATTCAAGTTTGGTCGAACCCGAACCGAATTCGAACAGAGATTTTGTCAATTTTCAAATTTGAACCCGAACTCGAACCAGACCCGAACATCATTATGAGTTCGGTTCGAAATTCATGAACATGTTCGAGTTCGAGCATAGTTTGTAATAGAACACTAGTATAGGTTCTGATTTGTTAATGACTACGTATATTGGTTATTTGTTATACGTACTATACTATTTAGCTTATAACTAACTAGTCAAATGTTCATTTCAAACTTGAACTCGAACACATCTTTCTAAATAAGTTCGGTTCAAAATTCGAACTGAACTTGAACCCACCCAAAGTTCGGTTCGGTTTGATAGAAGCACTAGTTCCAGAAGCAATTGAATTTGTGATCTAGTCGTCTTGGCGACCTTACTTTGCAAATGACCGGCGAAGAAATTCTCCATTGCTATCTTGATATTCCAATATAGGTGACATCGAATAATCAATGCAATCGCTTATACAACAGCTTTTATCATTTTAGGAGAAAAATTTTGAACATTGAACAATGTTAATCTGGTAAATTGAAGTTCTAAGTCATAATTTAAATAGATTTGGACAAAGAACTGTAATGCTTACCACGAACTTTCTAAATCTTCATAGCATTGAAAAATGTGATGCCTACAATTCTGCAATAACATCGCATCTCTTTAAAATAGGGCGGTACCATTTTCACACATTCTGCTAGCTCCTCAGTTATTCAGATCCTGATTATAGGTTGAGCTGTTTCTTAAAAACAAAGCATTTTTGGTTTACCAGCATAACGGTTCAAGGTGAAACAAGTGGTTTTCATTAAAATTAAGTCATGTGACCCCAGTCGCGTGGACACTCACGACTGGCTTAATGACAACCAATAGAAAATAAAAAAATTCTTTTTATTCGATGTCCGAACTTCATGTCTTTCATCATTTGACAAGCTACAAAATAGAAATAAATAAATACCCGTATAAACACCATGCTACCGTCACTATGGTTTACACAAGAAACAGAAGTTTTTATTTTGTTCATTAGATTCGCAACATATATAATTAACGAGAATTTTATTTTCACAATTGCTCCATGAAGTATTAACAGTAAGTACGCGCGTTTATCAAATTACAAATATTGAAATATTTGATCTGATTATATAAAATTGAGATTAAAATCTTATGAAAAAAAACTAACCAAACATCTTTCTAGCGGTGTACTGTTATTGTTGGAAAAGGGTTGATTTTTTTGGTGAACCTCTAGAGGAATTCCGGATTTCTAGTGGTTTTGTCAAGGTTTATAAATTATTAGAAATTTATTAGGAAATACTCTAGAGGCTCACCAAAAAAAAAACTAGTGTATCAACCCTGTTCTACCTGTGTATCTTATCTAGACGTCGAATCAATTGGTGCTCCCGTGTTTCTGTTTTTGCAGATGTTGCAATCGCAGCTGTTATAGTTGGTTTTGTATCTGTTGTAGCATATTTTGAAGAGTATCTTGCTGTACTTGGTTTGTTGTATTCACTGGTAAAAAGGGGGAGGTTCAGTAATGGTTTCTATTGTAGAAAACCTCTAGGTGATCTGCAGGATTCCAGGTCCGTATCTTAGAGGACATTTATTATCACTAGGAAAATCTAAGTGGAAAAGCAGTGAAACGACCAAAACTTTAAATGTTTCCAAAGTGTTTTCTTCTAGTGGTATCGATTTCCGTAATAACACTTGTTTTAATACAATTATTGTTGATTACCTATATTACAATCATAGCGCCCAAGATATTATTATAAACAGAATTTCGAGCTAAGCATTTTTTACTAGTTATGTAATAAAATTTCGAGCTATTGGCGATTTTTGCTTTTTAGATTTTTTTCGACACAAAAAATTTGGATCTGCAATCCTGATATGATTGGCTACTCGACATTGTTTTGAAATTTCTGATTGGTCGCCAGAACTCACTACATATAAAACCATTAGAAAACCATTAAAGTTTTGGTCGTTTCACCTAGAGGTTTCCACCAATATGGAACCTCTAGCGAAATTTTAGATTTCTCCTAGTAGTTTTCTAGTAATTCATTTGAATTTTGGCGAATATATGAAACTTAATGAAATCATTAGTAAACTAGTGCCGGGTCGGGTCCAATCCGTGAACCGACCCGGAACGCACATTTCAGGTCGGTTCGGATTGGGGTAAAACCCGACCCGAATTAATTCGGGTTGGCCTAAAAAACGTTATTTTTCGTTCAATATTTATTGGAATTAAACGAAAATTTGTGTCATATACGTAATTACATTCAAAATACAAGCGACTTGTATAAATAAAAGTTATTAACAAAAAACTATTTTACGATTTTCGGATCAAACCCGATCCGAAATTATCGGTTCGGGTTGACCTCAAATCCGATCCGACCCGACCTGAACAGAGCTTTATAGGAAACCCAAGGTTCCTGTAGAGGTTTCTGCACTGGCCCTTTTCTACTTGTGATTGTTGTCAACTTAATTTAATAAAGTCTAAAGTATATATTGTTCTACTTTGTTGTAAGTGTTTCATCATGAATCTGTAGTTTTTCTTGCAAGTCAACCGATAGCTTTTCATTCTCTTTGATTGCATGTGGTATACTAAAATCGAAATCTGTTTTCCACACATAAAAAAATAATTAATAAAAGAAGTTAACGAAAAAATAATAAATGTAATTTTACCTTCGTTTGGAACAAACAAACTGACACTTGACTTTCCTATACATTTGATATGAATTTTAATTAATATGAAATGTCATATTTAGAAATAAAAAAATACCTGTGTCAGTTGGAATTGAAATTAGTTTTGTGGTAAAGACTCGACTTGTGTATATTGCATTGGAGTGGATTGCTTGTTTTTGGTTCGTATCTGCAGGAATGTTCTTTTTTAATTTTATCTCCTTATCAAGTTCATCTAATTTCTGCTCTTCCAGTTCGAGACACTCAATAATTTCTTTATTTGTCTTAGGAAATTTTAACGAGCTGTAATACTGAAAATGCAAAGTATTCAGTTTATATTCTTCTGCTGGATATTTGATAGAGTAGAGAAAGTCCTTAAGTTCCCAAGCAGTTGGTCTGTTTTTTGGAATAGAATCCCAACATTTTTCAATAATAAACTTGAATAATTTAGGAACATTATTTGGTATCGAAGGTCGTACTCCGTTATAGATGTCTAATACAAGGTGTATATCATGACTCTGCCCACCAAATGGTCGTCCATCTGTGGCAATCTCATACGTTATCATCCCAAAACTATAAATATCTGCAGCTTTAGTGTATGGTTTTCCATTTAGTACCTCTGGACTCATATAAGGAAGTACTCCGCAAATTTTTTGATTAGATTGTTCTATATATGCTGGTTTAGTAAGTCCAAAATCAGCAATTGAAGGATAATTGAACATTATTAATATATTTCCAGGGTGAAAATCACGATGCACAAATTCATTGTGAATCATCTTCAACCCTTTAATGATCTCAAATAAATGACTTAATTTTTGTTCCCAATTCAATGTTTGGTGGTTGGAATTCATATACTTGCGTAGATCGCCATCTTTTGCATAACTCATCACTGTCGAGTATTCATTTGTAGCTGGATTTTTAGTTATTCCATAATATCTAATATAGCTTTCACTGGGCCTGCACTTTAGAGCAGTCAGAATCTAATTTTGAAAAAGTCAATTAGATTGGAAAACAAAAAAGCAATATGCTTACACTTTAAAGGTGTTCATTTTACCTCGTTTATAAACTCGGATGTAATTTGTTTTGAATTGTGTAATGATTTCAACACAATTTCGCGTTTTCCCTTTCGTTTAAATTCATTTTCTTCATGATCCCATCCTTGAAGTTTATCCAATGGTCCGTCCAACCAGGATGCTTTATAAATTGATCCAAAACCTCCTTTTGCAAGATATTCAACATTAGTAAATCCTTCAAAAGGGATCCATTCGAATGAACTGTATTCACCAGCAATTCTATCGCATTCATTTATTAGACTGTCGATATCTTTGTTTCCACATTTAACGTTATAAATTCGTCGGTGATATTTAATACATTCATCACAGTGCCAATTTCTTTGACATTTGGTACATTTACTACACTCATCGCAGTAATTATATAAGTTACAATCGACACAGTTAATACAATCATGAATATTGTGAACTGAACACGCTTTGCAGTAACCCCATTTTTGACAACACCAGCATTTACTACAATCATGAGTATTAGATGCCATCTTTGAGTTTTATTTAAAAAACGATGATTTACTTATATGTGTGAAAGTCGTCGTTTGTGTTTGTATCGATTTATGCATGAAAAATGACACAACATGCATTAACGTTAACGTTAAACGATGAAAAAAGAAGGTTCTATTGTTGTGTAAATAACAAAATGCATGTAACTAACTATAAAAAAACGAGGACCCGATTTTTAGATGTGGGGACTATAACATTCCTTTTTAGATTACGTATTTAAATATTTAATTTTCACGCAAAAGTTACGAAATTTTTATTTACATTAATTATTATCTTTACGAAGAAATCAATTATATTTTTACCTAACCTTTTATTTCGTTGATTTCGTTGAATATTCAAGTTAATAGTAAATATTTTTTTTAGTTAATATGAAAATTTGACTTCGCAAACATGTTCGTTTTGGACTTAATATTAATATGTTTAAATTTAACTTCAAAATATTTAGTCATAAAGATTACACATCTAATTAATCAATCATGGGTATTTACACATCATATAAACGCCGATTTCAATTAAAATATGCAAATAAAACACGTCTTGAAAACAGCAAAAGAATTCTGAAACGACTTCCACCAATAACGAAAACCAACAACGAGCTGACTTAATTTCAACAATACAACGATTACCTGAAAATGAAGTATCATTAGCAACCAGTCTTATATCAAATATGCGAGATCCAAAAGGTTCAAATAAAGGAAATATAATTTGCACATAATTATATTTCTCAAAATCTTTACAAATATCAATCCACTTTACAAGATTCAAATTCAAAGTTAAAACAAGAAAATAAAAGACTTCATTAAAAAATCAAGCACTTGTTAAACGAATCCAATCACTTGGAGCAAAAGTTCGACACACTTTGAATCAAAAATCAAATTACTAATGAAGAATTTCGTGAAAAGGTTAAATCTCTTTTTAAACCTAATAAAAAATCTTATTTTTCAAATACAATTTGGCTTGCTATGAGTATTTTACAAGTAGACCAAATATTATTATGCTCTGCTGTTGAATATATGTGATTAGTTATGAATTTCTAATGGGAGAACCACCTCAAGATTGATTAGCAACATCTACTCTATGTACATGGCATTAAGATGTTTCAGAATAAGCAAATTTATCAAGCAAAAAATGCACCTGTATTTGAAGTAATGATTAATAAATCAACACGAGGACAAGTAAATACTTTGCTATCAATTTTGGAGTAAAAAAGGTCAATTACCTATTGCAATGATTGCTCAATTACAACATATTACAAAATGTAATGCTGAAACTGTATCTAATATCACAATCATGCATATTCAAGAAAGTGATCTAGATGTTAAAAAATGTGCTTTATGGATATCAGATACATGTCTGGTGATAAAAATGGAGCTATTGTACTTTTTAATAAAAAAAATGAAAATTTATTACAGATTGGTTGTGAACTTTATATTATAATAAATCATTTTAAACAAGAAGCTTTTGGTACACTTTCTAATAGTACAGATTTTTCATGAAAACTGTATTCTTATAATTTGCTTTATTTGGCTTAAAAATTATATGATGGTTATGATTTAAGTGATAAAGACAAGTCACTTGATATAAATTTGCAAATAATCAAGAATTTGTATAATAAATTATTAGAGTTTCATTATAATCAATATTAATTATTAATTTAACATGTTGAAATTATAAATTATAAATAGCTAAGCAATATCTTAATTGATATTTAGTATATATTAAATTTGCTAGTTGGTTTATTAATGAAATAAAAAATCATAAAATTTCAAAGCAATATTTTAATAATTGATATCTTTTTCAATTTTGACTTCTTGATTTAAAATTTAATATTCAAATTAGATACTTAGTAAATTTTGCTAAACATTTATATAAATCATTAATATAATTTATAATTGGATAAAATATAGTTTTATATATTTATCAAAATGAACAATTAATCAAATTGTTTTTTGGTTGACATGCTCACAAAATACTAGATAAAGTTTATAAATAATATAAATTTCTTCAAGAGCTTGCTAAAAATTTTGAAATATTCTTTACTAATGAATTATTAGAAGTATTAAATATTTTATTTAGTAAGAAATTTGAAATAATTTTTAATAATTTGAAAAAAGAAATCATTAATATTTTGAAAAATAATTCTTAGCTTGGCTTCATTTACTATTAGTTATTTGTAATTTTGATAATAATAATACTAGATCTTTTGCTTTTAATTTTTATTATAAAAGCTTGAATTAAATCACTAACAGAATTGGAGTTATAATTTATTAAAAAACTTGAAAATAATCTAAAAATAGAATAATTAATATCTTTAATTTATATAAGTTATTAATACAAAATGATAATTTTTTAGAAAATTTGAATAATTTTATATTGATAATAAATCATTTATATATAATTTTTCAAATTTATATAATTTTGTTAAGACTTGGATTTATTTTATAATTATTCATTAATAGCAAATAAAGAATTTTTTAACAAATTTAATCTAAAAACTTATTATAATATATTACTATTAGTCAAGTAATTTAAACTTTATTTGTTCTTAAGCAAAATTAATAAAGAAAATTTATTAGAAGAATTAAAAAAAGTAAAGACAAATTAAAAAAAATCTGCTTTAAGAAATATATTTATCATAATATTGATTTGATATTACTTCAAATCTTTTTAATAATATATTATATTAATAATTAAATATTTTATAATAATAATTAATATTAATATTAATATTAATATTAATAATAATAATAATTATTATTATTATTATTATATAAATTAATAATTGATATTATAATCAAATTTCTTTATAGTTATTACTCTCAGAAAAGCAAAATTTAATAATTATAGAGAGAATTTAACTATAGAGATATTTTTTTATTATATTTATATATAAATAGGAAAGCAAAATAGAGTAACTATAGAGATATAACTATAAATAGGTGTGAATATAGAAAGATTACACAAAAATTTTTGATAATAAATTTTTATATAATATTAAATATAGTTTTAATTTATATAATATAAATTATTCTAATACAGTATATATATTTTGAAAATAAATTTTTATTATTTTTTAAAAAAACTATTCAAATTTATAATTCAAATTTTAAACTATCAATTAATAACTCAATACTTATTTTCTCTTTTTCAAAGTATTATTTTCTTTATTTATTACTTATTAATTAAATTATTTTCTAAATTAAATAGTTAATTAAATTTTTTTAATTATTTTTTTTTGGTTTTAGTTAATTTTTTATAATTATATTTTTGGATTTAATATTTTTTTATAAATATAATTATAAAAATATAATTTTTATTATAACTAATTCTTAATATAATTATAGTAAAATTTTATATAATATAACTATATTAAAAGTAAATATAAAAAAATTTATTTGTATTTTAATTTTAATAAAATTTTTAGAATTATTTTATTGATATATATTATATATTTTTTAAATAAAAAGATTTAAATTTATTATATTTATTATTATGTTTTGTAAATAAGCAATTTTTTATATTATTAATTTGAAATCAGTTTTTTAAAAAAAATACTTATTAATAAAACTTTTTGAATTATAATATCTATTAGTTCAATAATTAAATTATTTACTAATATTTAATTTAACCATTTTATTAATACTAAATATTTATTAAAGCTAATAATACTAATTATTATATATAATATTAAAAGATATTACTATATATAATAAAATTATAAATAATTTTATATAAAATATTATTAGATATATTGTTATTAATATTAATATTTTTTTAAATAATTATTATATTATTAAAATTAAGTTATTATTAATAAAGATTATTTTAGAATTTTTTTAAAAGTATATTTTTTAATTGAAATTAGTATTTATATAATATATAAATATTTATAATTAATTAATTAATTAATTAATTAATTATATAATCCTGAAATTAAATTTAAAATATTAATAATAAACAAGTTATAAAGCCAAAATTTATATAATAATTAAAAAATTTGAATATTCAATAAAATCAATAAAATATAATTGATTATTTATAAAAATAATAATATTATTATATAATAAAATTCACATTAATTATTAGTCAAAATTATTATTTAATCTTATTAGATAATTTTGAGATTACATATTTATATTTTAATTAGTTAAGATCTTTATATTTATATTTCATATTATATTATTTATATTTATTATTTGTATCATATTTATATTATTATTTATATTATTATTTACAAATATTATATAGATCATTTATTTAGATTATATTAGATAATCTATATTTATATTAGATTATAAGACAAGCAAATAAGTAAGTAATTAAGCAAGCAAATAAGTAATTTTCTTATAAATATTATTAGTAGTTTTAATTTAACAATTTATATAAAAAAACATGTATTTTAGCTTAGAAAAGTCATTTATTAATTCAGTAAATCAAGTTCTAAATATTAATAACTCAAAAATAAACTTTTTTGATAATAATACTTTTTAAAATTAATATATTTAGAATGTTAAAATATTACTTTTATTATTTCATTATTTAAGTTTTAAAGTTTTATATTAGTTTAGTTATAACTTCTTATATATTTGTAATATTAAGTTAATAATCTCTTATATATTTGTAATATTATATTAATAATCTCTTATAGTTTGATCTCTCATATATTTGTGATATCATATTATTGAAATAATAATTTAATAAATTGAATTCATAATATTTTACTTGTTTATAAACTATTATCATAATTATTATATTATATACAAATAAAATTATAAGAAGATTTTTAAGTCACTTTTTAGCTGACTAATAATTAATAAATACATATTATCACCTTTAGTTATCCATTTCATCTTTCTCATCTGATTTGAAATATGTATTGAGCATGTAGCAAGATATAATATATTTAAAATTCAAATAAAACAATGACAATATAAATAAAAATTTTATAACTTGATAATTATAATATACAATCAAATTTCTCTATAATCATTATTCTCAGAAAAGTAAATTTGATAACTATAATTTTGTTATTATGTTTATATATAAATAAAAAAGTAAAATAGAGTAACTATAGAGGAATGTAACTATAAATAGATATGATTATAGAGAGATTTAACTATATAAAAATCAAATAATATTTAAACAATTTAAAAAATATATATTTAGTTTTCATATTTAAAAAATTAAATTCTCATTTTTTATAATTAGTTAATATAAAGTATTAAAATTGATTAAAATTCTATAAAAATATAATTATTTTATTGAAGAATTAAATATTTCAAAATATTTTTTGAATAATAATATTTAATTTGAAAACTTAAAAAATTAATATTAATTTTTAACTAATTTTTTCAAATTTTTTATAAATTAATAATTTTTATTATTCTATAATATATACTATTTAAAATTATTAATATTTGTATTTTATAAAATAAATAAACTTCTTAATTAAGAAGTAAATACAAAATTTAATTTATAAATATATTTAAAAAGAGTTTATTTTATTATATTTATAGATTAAATTTTGTATTTACTTTTTAATAAAGAAGTTTATATAGTTTATAATTTTAGATAATATATATTATATATAATTTATATTTTTTAATTATATAATATTTTATATATAATTGTAAATTAGATTGAAAAAATAGTATAATTAATTAAAACTATAAATAAAAGAAATAATATTATTTTGTTAAATAGTTAAAATATGTT